TTCTGCTTATCAGTGGCTCTCTTCCCAGTTCCATTCTGCATCCAATTTTGCTCGCTCTGTTGCCAATGTTAAGAATTTGACGACAAAAGCGTAGATGATATTTTTCTGTTGCTGTTTTGTCTCAATTAGTCTTATTTTGGAAAATGCCCCATATCTCACCTGCATATGTTAATATGGGTAGTTGCTATGTGTATATGTGATTGCTCTGTGCTTATTTGTATCGAAAAGAAAATCACCACATGTGTGAATGTATTACAAGAATTTCACCTGATTATAGTGCATTTTATCTTCTGCTATGTTGAGAGCAAATTTGTACATATTTATGAAGGTTTTCTAAATACATCACCCTGTTACAATTAGAAAAAATATCAAGGGTAATAATTCCAAATGTAGATGTATCGTAAGTGCTGTATTAGTAGCATATATGCTTATGTAAATGGCAGAGGTATATGGTATATACCCGGTACATTTTGCGATGAAATGAACGGAGTGTATTGTTACCAAGATCTGATCTCAGTAATTTAATTGAAATAATATATGCGAAACCAAGTCATGTGTTTTATATTTATAGTTTTGTGTACATTTCCTTCTTTAGCAACTCATTGTCAGAGTCATATAGGCTGTCAAGTTTGTTTTACGTGTGTTCAGTGTCTGGTAGGCAAGAACCAGTCGTTCATACCCAAGATAGAATAATGGTGCTCTTCTCTTGGGTTGTAACTAAATTTTTGTATTGTAGGTTTTGACTCTTTGCATGAAGTCCCAGTGTGTCCGCATTGCGGTAACGAGTTACTAATTGAAATAGAGAAACCAACCATGATTGAACATAGTCTATCCACCCCAGTTGGATCCATTGCATCAGTAGGATCAGCACAGCCATTGGCTGCGTCGTCACCATGGAAAACAGACAAGTACGCTTTCTGATATAAAATATATAATTCTAACTATGATTTGATTGTCGCTATTTTCGCTGAAGAGCTGATTTAGTGAAAATAAAATCCAGTAAATATACCTTTTTTCCTATCCAAAAATTAGTAAAAATAAAATCAATACAAAACACCCAAAAATTAATTTCAGCTAAAATAAAGTATTTTACAGTAGATAATATTTGGTAATCAATGTTCTAAGTAACTATTCAGAATAGCTCGTCTTTTTAAGCAATGGTTATTTATCGATAACATAGAAGAAAAAATGTAAGTTTTCTGAAACACACCAGAGTTTGAGCAACGTTGGTTTGAAAAATTTGGCTAACCTTTTGAAAATTGGACTGTCAAATATTATTAACATTTTAACTTTCCCTAAACACTTTGGGTAGCATCTTTCCATATGTTTATGTGTGCTTTCATTGACACCGATACTTGTTAGCAAATTATCTTAAATGACACTCAACTTTTGAACATTTTATTTCCTGCCATATTGGTTCATATACTTTCATGTACTATTGAGAATGGATATTACTACTCGATATCAAGAATAAAATAAACAACTTTTTCAAAACATTAATAGATTCTCTAAAATTAGTCCGGATGCTGTTTGATACATTTTGTTTTTCATAATTTTTAGTGATAACTCATTCCTGTCAGCAGAGGGGAACTCGTCATCAGACTACGTAACAGCTGATACTGAATCCTATAGCAGCCCTGTACGAGATATCAACAATGATGTCAGTGTGTCAACATTAATTGCTCGTTCATTGCCATTTGATAGTGAAATGACACTCCATGCTTTGTCGACTCGTGGTGACAGCTTCTCTCCATCAAAAACAAACAGGAATCTAGAACTAGAATTTGTTGAAAATGAAATCAGGAAGTCTGATGTGTTTTCTGAGAAGGTCCCGAATGATGCGTCAGACGATGCTCCTCACGTTGGCGAGGTTTTTGACTTCCCATCAGGAAAAGTACAAGAATTGTTGCAAAATGAAAATAAAGAAAGTTTTAATCAGAAGTACTCACTGGTTCCGACTGACGTGTTCAGCAGTTCGGATAGCGATAGTTCAAATAATAGCAAAAGGGGTAAAAACGGTGCTAATGCGAGCGAGATCTCTCCGCAGAGGCTTAGACGCACATTGGGAATTGTTGCAGAGAACAAGGCTGCCATGACTCTGCAATATCCTACTGGATTTCCGAAAGATCCAATCGAGTCTAGTGTGACAACACCGACTGAAAATGCTGCTTTTGGCAGAGTGTCTCAGAATGGACAGTTACACCATCCGAGGCATCGTAACAGCATTAATGATATAACCATTCTGCCAACGCCAAAAGAGACAAATGTGGAAAAAGTTGTACAGGATGACGTGCTAGTTAATAGCAGCAGTAGCGACATCGCTGTGTTGAGTAATCCTAGTCAAAGTAGCATTTTACTGCTGCCATCACCAAGCACTGAATGTAGTGTCTATGATATGCATGTGAGTACTGTCAGTGCCGGTAGTTCTAGCGGTGTTAGTTCGAACAGTGGCGTTCCAAGAAGCGTCAGTTTAAATGAATCACTTCTCAACAAAAGTGAACACACGGACAGATTGCACAGCCCGGAGAGTGGGATTTACGATAGCAGCATCGCGAGCCCATCAGTCGGGGATACAACATTTAGTGCAATCACTGCCGAAACATGTGCCAGTATGGTAAAGAGCGTGTATGAGCGAACGTTGGATAGTACAGATGAGGAGGAAAAGTCAACCCGAGGAGACTCTGACGATTTCACACATATTACTCCGCTGACATCGCTCAGTAACACGCCCACGCCAATGAGTCTGCTCGAGATGAGTTCTTCTTTCACTGATAGTAGTACGGTCTACACGGGTAGTGTAGGCTCGCATCATGACAGGTCATTGACAGACAGTGGCAGACATGGTAAACATCGCACCATGATTATGCTCCCGATACAGTATAATTACGATGATTTCACCGTTGTTGATCATCGATTAAAACTTTATGCAATGATGTCATTATTCAAACATGAAGAAGAGGAATTTCAGTGTGTTCTCAAGGTAGGAATATTTTTATAGTCAATTTCATGCAAATTCATCGCACATTTAACATTCAGTCACATTTAACAAGTTTTTCTTTTTGTCAACCAGTTAGAGCATTCCTTAGTAAAACAAGCTATGTTGTTTTTATATATATTACAGTGTAACACAGTTTTTGATTGGTTGTTGGTAAAGATTTGCATAGGTAGTTGGTCAGGTGGGGTGTACACTGGCTCTTTAACATTTCAAGCACCGTTGTCAGCTTTTGGCACCAACTACAAAATGATTTTGTATGGTATGTTCCTCCCCGCATGAAATATTGATAACAATTTACAAACCTTTTGATCAAAAACTAAAACAATATCTGAAATATAGTGAAAAGTTTACAAAAAATATTTGATCCTAAATTCTGGGTCGGAAAAATATGTGGCTCCCATGGGGATAATGTTTTTTCTCATTTGTAGTCTCCACTGGTACAGCATCCCAAAGGTGAATACTATTCGTCATTGCTGATTGTATCCAGTCATAACATTTACATCTTAAAAATTCACAAAGAGGAAACGTAAGTATTATTTTTATGACAAACTTACACTCATAATTGTAATGACTATGAGGATGTGTTTTTATGAAGAAAAATATAAGAACAATTATAGAACATGTGTAATAATTTAGTAGTAATTATTTCCACTGACTCGATTTCTTGAAACAGATGTATGCTGTGAGTGCAAAAAGATTTAAAAAGTCCTTTTTCTTTTTTTCATATTTTTTTGCAATTGAATTTTGCAGACGACTTTTTATTAGGGCCCAAGCCTGTAGGGCGTGGCCCCTATTCTTATTGTTCGTTTTTTTCTTCTTCATCTTCTTCTTTCTTCCGTAACTTTTTTCGTCAAGCCGTTTGAGAAAACCGCTGAACGGAATGGTCTGAAATTGCTCTATACTGATG